AATTCAGGAAAGAAATAGATCGCATGAAGCAGAGTCAAAGAGATATAGAGGAAATGAAACTCTCAATCACAAGCTTGCAAGACCGTTTAAATGAATGTGAAGACAGAGCTTCAGATCTTGAAGATGGTGGGGTAGCTAGTGAAAAGGTAAGAAAGGATCTCTTAAAAACAACAAGGATGCAGGAAAGAATAATCCATCACGTGCAGGATGATGCAAAGATGAACAATATGATACTCATAGGCATCAATGAGAAAGAAGGAGTCAACAAAAATGACATTAAAAAAATATGGGCAGACGTAATAGCAGAAAACTTCCCAAATATGAGGAAACAATCTGACATTCAGGTAACTCAAGCATACAAAATGCCAAGTAACTTCAATCCAATGAAAAACACACTGAGATATATAATAGTCAAGATCCCAGAAATTCAACACAAGAATAATATACTGAAAGACGCTGGAGAAAAGAATCAGATCCCATTCAAAGGAAAACCCATCAGAATTATGGCCCATTTATTTTCACAAAGCATGAAGGCAAGAAGAGCATGGAGCAGAGTACTTCGAGTCCTCTACGAAAAAAATTCCAGCGCAGAATTCTATACCCTGAAAAACTCTCTTTCAAGTTTGATGGAGAACTGAAATACTTCCATGACAAAGAACAGCTAAAGAATTTCACGATGACAAAGCCAACCTTACACAGGCTACTGAAAGATGTTCTAGAGGGGGACGTAAATGATCAGACCTCCACGAATGAGATTGGACCAACCAACTACATAGGGTAAGCAATTAAACACAGGAGAAAAAGGAGTAAATGATAACAGGTAAATAACATAGCAACTGTAAGTCAATACATCTCAATTCTAACCATTAATGTAAATGGACTCAATTCACCAATTAAGAGAAATAGACTGGCACAGTGGATTAGGAAACAAAATCCAACAATATGCTGTAAACAAGAAACACGTTTAACTCAAAAAGACATTTATAGGCTGAAAGTCAAAGGATGGAGCACAATACTACATGCCCCAGCACCTCAGAAAAAAGCAGGGGTAGCAATTCTATTCTCAGACAGTCTCAACTTCAAACCAACAATGATCAAGTGAAATAAAGAAGGACACTATGTTTTGGTTAAGGGACAAATTCAAGAGGACGAGGTAACACTCATAAACATGTATGCACCAAATACAGGAGCACCGAACTATATAAAGCAAATCTTAATGGGCATGAAAAATCTAATATCCAATACCACAATTTTAACAGGAGAGCGTAACACCCCTTATCTCCAAAAGATAGGTCAACCAGACAAAAACTTAGTAACGAAATAACAGAACTGCACCAGAGTTTAAAACAAATGGACTTGGTGGACATATACAGAGTGTTCCACCCAAACACAGCTGAATACACATTTTTCTCAGCTGCACGTGGATCATTTTCGAAAATAAACCATATAATGGTCCATAAGTCATGCTTAAGAATATGCAGGAAAACAGAAATTGTCCCAACTGGAAATAAATGACAAAAGAAACCAGAAAAATATTTTAAATACATGGAAATTAAATGACACACTACTCAGCAACCAATGGGTAACAGATGAAATTAAACAAGAAATTCAACAATATCTACAATTCAATGAAAATTCAAGCACAACTTATCG